ATACTAAAAGATGGAGAAGTTTGTTGAGCCAACAAATGCTCAACATGGATGGTGAAATTGTGTTCTAAACCGCAAATGTATGATTAGTTTGGAATATTGATATGGATTATATTGCAATTCCGATCAAACAAATTTATATACTTTATTTACATCTACGATATTGTTGAATAAAAGATCTTGAATATTAAGCTCATCGCATACTCTAAAAATTAGTTAATTGAGTTCAGGTCTGTAATTTTTCGATTAAAAACATAATTGTGATATATGTATTTTTATTTTTAGTATGAATGTTAATAATTTTTTTTTTTCTCGGAAGATTTGAAATTTAAAACTTTATGAGCCAAAAATAATATTTAAAAACTTTTAAGGAGAAACGGAGGAGGCTTCCTTCAGTGTACCGTTGAATCCTTTGACACGTCATGTCAAATCGGATCTCCAATTAGCTTTTGTCTGAAGACGGTATTTTCGTTATAATAAGGTTGGGATACACTCGTGGTCAAGATTCATGCGAAAGGTAATCAATTCTTCGAATCGTTTAAATTAGCATTAACCTAATCAAGTAGACAATACTAACAGTCGAAAATAGTAAAAAATAAACATTCTTTTTCCGACTAACAATAACCTATGTATTAGTAATAACCCAATTTAATTATTACTTTATTATCTTGAAGTTTGGGTTCAAATATATTTTACCTCAATTAATCTATAATCAAAATATGTATGTTTATGTACACAACGATCCTTTTTGGGTGATTTGCATTAGTATTACTAACAAATTAAGTAACTACTATAGAAAAGCGGTCAATTAAGTGCATAGCACAAGTCAACAGAAAAAAGTATGTGAAAATGATATTGCACTCCTTACTTTCTAAATCTAGACATCGCTTTTTTTGACTGAGGTTGGGACCACACCAACTTACTAAGACACAGACGTTACTTGCTTTTTGAAACAATAGCAACGTAAACTTTATTGTTACTTTAGTAAGCTTTAAACGTTGTTGTCGTTTAGTATTACGTGTACAAATAGGTTTATTTGAGGGAACTCTAGTGGATCAGATAAATAGCCACTAACACAACACCCATAAACCAAACATTCAAGTTTCTGATTTTTAGCGTTATGGTTCGTATTTTCTCAAGAAATTATGGTGTCCTTTTGCTCAAATCATTAAAATATGAGATAACTCTATGGAATAATTAACTATTTTCATAAAAATATTTACTCAGAGTATGCGGTTATGTAGTAGACGACTATTTAATAAAGCAGTTGCATCCGCCTCAGATGAACGTCTTCTCATTCTAAAATTATGAGACATTATGTACGATATTTTCTATGGTTACACCAAGTTAAAAGTAAATAGACATATACAAAATAGTCACCTATCACTTCAACATAGACATTCTTTTCAATTCTATTTATTTTGTTTTTTGTGTTCATATATTTATAGTAGATGACTACTAATAGGTAACTATGTTTAAAATGTAGGCGGTTGTTGTCGGCCACGATAAGTATGAAGTTTACAACATAAAAAGGGAGATATGTACATAACAAGTTATCGGTAACTTTTTCTTACAGCATGAAAGACCATTTCACCTAGTACCAACTCATGTATGTTATGGTGTCTCAGAACTACTTCCTCCATTAATGCGCTGACCAGATGGTCGACCAAAGAAAATAAAGATCTCATCTTAAGGGGAAATGAAGGTAACGTACTCAACTATTTAGTGTTTGTAACATAGTCAACTTTTTTATTATTATTCATAGTTGACTACTTTGTGGTAGAAATGTGGTTGATCTAATTCGTTTGCTGACACAGAAGAAATTTGATGAATACGGCAATACTTTGCAGCATGTGTCTTGGGAGGTGTCACAATGGTAACTCTATAGCCATAGTTGACTATTTTCATAGAAAATCATTAGCGAAGAGTATGTGGATATGTAGTATACAACTATTTTCATAAAAAATATGTATCCCCCTCAGACAAACATTCTCTCACTCCGAAAGTGTGAGATATTATGGACGATACTTTCTATAGTTGCACCAAGTTGAAAGTAAATAGACATATACCAATTAGTCATCTATCACTTCTGTATAGACGTCCCTTTTAATTTTAATTCTTTTGTTTGTTGTGTTCATATTTCTAGTAGACAACGACTAGTAGGTGACACAGAGATGTTGACTAGTTTGTAACCTATTTTGATTAGATAGGTCGTACTCCAAGTCGATTACTAGTAGTTGTCTATTTTCTCCATACAACTCAAAGTTGATTTTAATACTTAAAAGTAAGTATTAATAATTGTCTATTTCGATTAGATAGCTACTTCTAAAATTTGATTATTGGTAGTTATCCATTTTCGCTGACTCAAAGAATTCAGGGTAGCCCTTCATTAAGTTGAGACGTTTAATGAAGGCAAATAGGTTGAGCGCCTTGATGAGAGATGGTTCCTTAAATGTTTGGTTTAAAACCTTACATGAACAAGCAAATGAACACATCTTCTGCAGATTCTCTAGCAACCTTTACAAAGACATTAACGAGTGCATCGCGAATCTGAAGAAGCACATTATTTGCGAACAGTGTGGGTTCACATTGTTGAAGAGAACACATATCCCTACAGAGGAAAAATGGCAAAAAGTTAGCTATTGTAAACTGATTACTGTTATAACGTAGTTAACTACCGATAATTATATTAGTAATTGGTTATATGTGCATAGTAGTTATGTAGACTAACTGAATATGGAGTAGTTATTTATTGTATATGTATAGATGATAAGAGTAGGCAATTACTAATGACCATATTCAATGTAGTTACTACTTACTCAGTATGCATATAAAAATAGTTAACTACTCTAGATCTACAAAATAAAGAGAACCAGATATCGATAACAACGAAAAAGATGATGGAACTGTCAGAAATTTACATGAACAAGCAAATGAACAAGCATATTCGGCAGATTCCCGACCAACTCTTTTAAAAATATCAACGAGTGCATCACTAATCTGGAGAAGCACATTATTTGCAAACTGTGTGGGTTCGGATTGTCGAAGAGTACACATATCCCTTGAAACGAACAAAAGTCAAATAGTTAGCTACTGTAAACTGACTACCAATGTGATGTAAATAACTATTGTTATTCATATGAGTAGTTGACTATTCCTATCTAGTAGTAATGTAGACTAACTGAATATGTAGCTTTATATTGAATCGATTATAGATGTTGCGAGTAGACGATTACTAGTGACGATGTATATAGTTAACTACCGAAAGAAATTTTTTAAAATCCTAGACTGCATCGCGAATCTGCGGAAGGACATCATTTGCCAGCGGTACCAGATCGGGATGTACTTGGGACAACATAGCCCTTCAAACACATAGCAATGAATAGTTAGCTACCGAATAAATGGTCGCCTACTAAGCTAGTTATGTAGTTCAAATGTAGTTGACTATAGACAGTAGTCGACTACTCAGATATGAAAGCATATATCTAAATGACGGATGAGAATGAGAGTGGGCTGGGTAAAAAATACAAAAATCATGAATCACGAGAAATTACTTATGAAAAAAACGTTTATGTGTCCAAAAAGAGAAAGAATAGCGAGAGATCTAGCTGAGAAAAATAAACAATTCTAGATTCTGAAAATTAGCGACGACATATGCGGGTAACTGCGACTACAATCAGATAATATTCAAATTACAAAAACAATAACAGAGTAGAAATAGATGTGTCAACGACTGAACATGTACCTTTCAATATTCGCTGCAGAAGAAAAAGGCAGTGGTTCACAAAATTTGTCCATCATGTTCGGAGCTTTAAACGGCGGTAATGATATAAAGACTCGCTGTGTCAAACCCCGGTTGATATTGACGGGAACGGCGAAGCAAAGATGGATAGTCGCCGATATAAGAGAAAAGAGGATATGGGTGTGGTAGCAGTATTTTGAAATTCATTGAATTTCAAAGACTTAAGCTTGACTATAAAGTCCCAGCGAAAATAATTTGAATTAAAGTTGATGAAAGAGAAATGTGTCAGAAAAAATGAATATGTAAAAGCGTATACGCTATCATTTTAAAGAGATGCTAGAGTGGAAAGGAGCTGAGGGGGTTTAAAGTATTTTCCATACTATAAAATAATTAGTTTTCAAATACCTAAATAGTTCTTGTCTTATTGCTACGACACCAAATTTCTCATTTTTTTTTCTGGGTCAAGAACACAACGATTTTATAAGACATATAGATTACTAATTAAATTTAATTAATTTAAGACTAAGATGTCATTTATATCTATCTAAAGTAAGCATGATTAGATAATTAATTGTTATAATTAATTGTGATATACTAATTTATATCTTTCTCTTCCCTGATTATCGTAGAATAAAATCTCGATGTATTATATAGTTTTTTTTTAATTCACGACTCACCTACTTAATTGAAACGACTTTTCAAATATTTTCCGGTACTTTATGAAAATTTTGCAATTTTCTATTACATTCACTTATGTGTATCCCATTCTTATTCTCTTTTTTTTCTTTTTCTAATTAGTTTAATAACATTGCTCACTTTATTAACCAAACCAATCGCTAGCACAACTTGTAGACTACATGTAATCAAAACACACAGAAATGTATTTCCATACATGTGCATGCAATTATGCAAATTTTCTTGTCATGGAGTCTGCATAAATAGTAATTTTCTTAAAAAAGCATTCATATCAATATTTTGAAATCTAATATATAATCTTTAATAAGAAATCCCTTGTTGTGGTTTATAGAAAGCCGTCAATGGATAAAAAAAGGCATAAATGAGAAAAGCAATATAGGGAAGGCAAAGCTAAACAACGAAAAACATTAAAATACAAAAACTTCAAAACTAAACCTTTTCCTTTAACAAAATAAATAAAATAAACAAAAACACGGAAAAAAAAAACAAACAAGCAAAGAAAAGTATTCTTCAACTTGGCTGGCTTATTGTGTATGTCTATATATATTCCATTGAACCCTTTCTTAAAACCCAAAAGCTTCACAATCTCTCTCTCTCTCCCTCTCTTTTCCTCAACATGACATCAAGAACATGCACAAGACTTTCGAATCTCTTTAACGTTTTTCTCCTGCTTTCTCTCGTTTTCTCAGGTGATTTGTTTTTTTCCATCGTCTAAATCCTTTTTTTTGTTGTCTGGAGTTTTCTTACAGAAATAACGTCTAAATTTTTAGTAATTACTTTTCAAACTTATGGAAATTTTGGCATAATTTTCTTAAGATTCTGATTCTTTGAATGGAAAATAATGCAGGGAATATATTACAAAGAGTAACGTCTCTTGGCATCAATTACGGACAAGTTGGGAACGATTTGCCTTCACCGGATAAAGTTATTAACCTCTTGAGATCTCTAAGGATCACCAAAACAAGAATCTACGACACTAATCCTCAAATTCTTAGTTCTTTTGCAAATTCAAACATCGAGATCATCGTCACCATTGAAAATCAGGTTTTACCGTTGTTACAAGATCCTCAACAAGCCCTCCAGTGGGTGGATTCTCACATCAAACCCTATATTCCGGCCACTAGGATCACCGGAATCATGGTCGGAAACGAGCTTTTCACCGACGAAGACTCTAGTTTAATCGGGTAATTAATAATCATTGAATCTCTTAATATTTTGCATTTAATCAAATATATCTCTTTACAGTGATTTCACATTTCCTAGTAGAGTCCTTGGTCAACAATGACGATCGCATAAAAACAAAATTAAAAAAAAAAAAAATATATATATATATATATATATATATATATCAAGGGCCCAGAGCGATTTTAATTTTGAAAAGTTTTAAATGGTAAAAATATATGGACTCGGTACGTCATCTGCATGTAGTTACAAAATATTGCTATATTTTTTATATAGTTAGGTGCGATAAAAAATTTCAAATAATGCTAATTTGTATTTTATTCCTCATTTTTCTTTTGTAATAGATACATGATGCCGGCGATGATAAACATCCACAAAGCTTTGGTTCAATTAGGTTTAGACAGATACATTCAAGTCTCGTCTCCTTGCTCTCTTGCCGTTCTAGCCGAATCTTATCCTCCATCGGCCGGAAGTTTCAAGCCGGCGGTTTCCTCCGTGATGCAACAACTTCTAGATTTCTTGGAAGCCACGAAATCTCCTTTTTGGATCAATGCTTACCCTTACTTTGCCTACAAAGATAGCCCAAACAAGATCCCAATCGATTACGTTCTATTCAACCGTAACATAGGAATGACCGATCCCAACACAAGACTACATTACGACAACATGATGTATGCTCAAGTCGATGCGGTTGCTTTCGCGGCTGCGAAATTAGGGTACCGTAACATAGAAGTTAGGGTTGCGGAAACAGGGTGGCCTTCAAAAGGAGACCCCGGAGAGATTGGAGCGTCTCCTTTGAATGCTGCCACGTATAACCGGAATCTTATGATGAGGCAATTCGCCGGAGAAGGAACTCCGGCGAGGCGGAATTCGAGGCTCGATGTTTATATATTTGCCTTGTTCAATGAGGATATGAAACCGGGTCCTACTTCGGAGAAGAATTACGGGATATTTCGACCAGATGGATCATTGGCTTACAATTTGGGATTCTCTACGATGTCGACCACGACTGCGAATTCAGAATCAGTCACTTATTCATCCTCTGCCACTAAGGTACAATAAATATTCCATGGTTTTGTTTTGTTAGAACCCGGAAATTTTGAGGTGATCACAATGAGAATAAATGTTTGTGAAGGCTAATGAATTCTCTGTTTCTAATTCTTACAGGCAGTGAATAAGGCAACGAGCTTGGAGTATTGGACAATTTTGATATTGGCGATGATTCAAGTTGTAATGTTGAGATTATTTTAGAGGGGAATTTATCGAGAATATATATAATAACGCGATTGGTTAGGATATTTATGTAAACAAATTAATTATTTGAAGTTCGACAAATATGATTTCATATTCTATTCAATATTACTAATCAAATCGGTAAATAGTTAAAATGATAAATTTGTTGTTGTCGTTAACATGTTGAATGGACATGTGGATATCGATGAATTAAAAAACTGTTAATTTTTTTCAAGAAATAACTTATATTGGCGACTTGTCGCACATGAAAAGCTAGCTTACTGTAACCTTGACCCTTGGGCGTAGAATCGATAAGTACTAGCTTACAATCAACCATATCGTTTCTCTAATTCAAGATATAAGGCATATAGCCGATTCATTTATTTATGTATGTTATTAGATATTTTAAATATAATCATAAACATTTATATATTTACTAGAATGCAAATCTATGCATTGGAGTGGACGACACGAAAAACTGGAACTGAAGCTAAGAAAAAAAGGCCATGAAACAAGAGCTTATGCTCACGATGCATATCCACATGCCAATTTCCAATTATATCGGCTAAATGTACTCTCTAGTTCTTGCCGCAAAACGATGCGTTTTTGACCTTGAAAACAGAGGCAAATATGCTCTTTAATTAACCATCGTCTGTATATCTTTCAACCGAGCTCTTATATTTAATAGATATACAAAATAAAATATTTTAGCCGCACGTACTATAAGAAATTCAATATTGTTTGAAGACATTATTTACAGCTGGTTAATGCCCTCTAATATATGCTACTATTTTATATTAATCCATAGACTAAACAAACTAAATAAACATAAATGCGTTGTAAAAAAAAAAAATTAACATACATGCGAATTATTTTCATACATTGGAGTATTGGACCGTCGAAAAATGCATCGATCATTACGAAAATCTCTCAAAATGAAAATTGTAAAAAGAAAAAAAAGATGAGAATTACAAAAGTGGAAGAACAAAATCGTTTTACGTACCGGTAGTTAACGATCGCGAAAGTCCGGTTTGTGGAGAACTTCTAAGGTTGTGTAGAGAGATCGCAGTAGAGAGTGGTAGCGGAATTAGGGTTCTGGTTATGGCAAGGAGATGAACCGGAAGGTGGTACGAATCCTTTAGGAAGCATAACCGAGAAAATATCCGGTCGGACCGGACGATTTAAACCGTTATTACTCTTCTTGATCATCATCTTGAAGTAGTCGGCACGACGATGAAATTCAAGACCACGGCGACGGATGTTATGGCGATAGTAGTAGTAGTGGTGATTGTAACGAAGACGACGGTGGTGATCTCGTTGCCGGGGGTTCAAGATAAACGGCGTCGTTTTCTTGATGTAAACGAGTTGATGCGGCGATTCCTCGTAGCCGTTGAGATAGGTGTTTTTCTCTTGTGTTGATACTCGTCTTGTTTCTTGATTCGAAGATGATGGTGATATGAGGAAGACGAGAGTGAGAATGAGAGAGACGATGAAGCATTTGAGAAGGTTATGTTTCATCAAGTCGTCCATTGCGATTGAGAGAGAGAGAGAGAGAGAGAGAGAGAGATCGTAGGGTTTTGGTTTAGAGAGAGATAGAGCGAGAGCGAAAGTAAACAAAAGGATAAGGGTTATATAGTAGATCTTGATATACATAAACTGTTTTTTTTTACCTGGTGTCTAAAGTTTAATTGTATGAACTTAATTAACTATTACAATTTGTTAGCATTTCAATGAAAATATGACTAGTTTGTTAAACAAAGTAACCCTATTGGGATTGGTTTAAGATTTTTTTCCTCAAGTTTTTATTTTGATGTAAATGTTTAACATATTATTAAGTAAAAAATAAAGCATTTCAATTTTAAAGGTGGTTACAAAAAAAAATTATTATTGTGCTCAGGCCCATTACCGGCGATACAATCTAAGCCCAATCCAGCTTACGCTTATGTAGAAGAGCGGGAAACGCTCTGTTGAATTCAGAATTCAATCTTTTCAAACTTTGTCAAAATTTCTTCACATACAGTCTACAGAGAATATCAGATCGATGCGAGTGCGAACACGCGTTTCCGATCTCACAGTGAAACAATTTTCTTCAGATAATCGCCAGGTTTCTTCATCGAGATTTTTTCAGTTTCTTCTTTTGATTCTGCATTTTTCTTTTGTATACATTTCTCGGCAACATAGGTTTGATTTTGTTACTCGATGAGATCTAGAGATTCGTTTTCTGGATATTGGAGATGAGATCTGAGTTCATATCTAGTTTTACTTTCTCTTTTATTTCGATTTAAATCCTTAATTGTGACGAAAACGCGCCAACTGTTTGATTATATGCTCTTCTTTTCGAACTATAGATTCTTCTTTGATGATCTAATTTTTCCTATGAAAACTGGATAAATGATTACATCAATGATATACATACACTCTCAATGTTGGAAAGGCTAATAATATTGATTATACAATTCACGTTAAGACTCTTTATCTTCGTTCTCACTGATGGAGAAAAACAAATGATCACCGTCTCTAATGACATGTACATCATCTATTTCTGCGTTTTCCGCATTTTTGACCATTGTGAAACTTCTGTCTCCAAATTTCTCACCTGCATAATTACGCCAGTTTTTATTTAGTTATATGAGCTTAGAGCATTGTGAAGTAAAAGAGCTTACCTGCAAGTCTTAGCAGCTCTTCTATGGAAGCAGGTAATATTACTAGCTTCGACAAATCTTTTCCGTGAGACTTCAAGTGTATGGTAACTCTCATATCTTTTGGTTTTGTAGCTTCATGTTCACTAGTTTTGTTTGGTTTTCCCCCTTCTGCTATCTCCATCTTCTGTTCTTGACCTCTTCTTGTTTCACCATAACCCTCTTTTCTTGAATCCAAATCGAAATGTTCTGAATCATTCAGTTGTAAATATTTGTGCCCATGTCCTTGATGTCTGGCATTTCCTTCTCCTCTCTTTGGACCACCACCGAGCCACTCTTGGAGGAGGAAGTCTGGTTGGTTGTTTGGATCATCGATTGCTATTGACTGTTGCCCTCTGAGCTTCTGCAAATTTCATCATGACAAGAATGAGTTAGTATTGTTTTAACTGTAATGTGAAAACATCTTATAATATTCTCAAATCACATATTTGGTATATTGCTTGCTTACCATGAAGAGATTGTTCATTATGACACGTCCATCTTCAATATGAGATCGCATAGCACTCATTAGAGATGTTTTGCTTACACGTAGTATTTGAGATAGTTCTCTTGTCCTAACTGTGAAAGGTTGTGGTTTGTAGCATAAAACTCCAATCTCTCCAAATGCATCTCCAACAACTGCCTTGCCTTGAATCTACATGAATGTTAGAAATGTGGTTATTACTTATTTGATTATCTCTGTTTCTTTCAGATCTTTTGGTCAAATACTTTGTCTACACATACCTGGTTTTCTCCGTCAATGTAAGCAGTAAAATCCTGCACAATCGCCAACAGAAAGAGTAAAATATGTGAGAAGGTAACTTCAACAATCCTAAACCGTCTTTGATGTTTAATTTAAGCCACTCACCACTGCTCCTGAGACAAGGATATAAAGGTCTGTAGGAGCCTCGTTCTGTAGTATTACATCTTCTCTTGGTGGGAAATACTCGGCATCTATATCTGAAACCTTGGTCGGAAAGGGTAATATAGCGTTGGTGGGTTATATAAGACGAGACAGAGAAAGAAATGGACAAGAATGAGTTTAACAGATAGGAGTATTTTACCAACTGAAATAGGAAGTTGCGAGAAACTCCTTGGAAGAGGTAGACGTTCTGAACAATTGGGAAGAAGAGATAGTTTGCAATGCTTGACCGTATTGCTTTCGGCAAACCATTCAAGGCTTCCTGTTGTTTCAGACCCTCTGTTTTGAACTTTAAGCAAATGTGTGATAACATCTGGTCCTGTATGTTTGGTGGGAGCTGGTTTCTTGATGCAAACTCTGAAGCAGCTCTAACAGTATCTCTCTGTTGAATAGAAAGAATCAGCTCTAACAGAATCAAATTTTTGCAGGTGAATTCGAAAGAAAGTGACTGAACTTACAAAGGTTCTGGTGCGGCTAGTCCAGTGAACGACAAGGTTGGTCATATTTCCAATCAGGTAAGATGTGAAACCAAGGTTGAAGAGCATGTAAAAGACATCGAACAACATTTCCCTCGGATTCTGAGCATGTAAGTCTCCATATCCTGTTGTTGTTAATGTCGTAATTGACCAGTAAAGAGCAGTCACATATCTACTCCAAAGGCTTGCCTTCTTGAATTCTGGGTACACATCTCCAATCCATGTTTTTCTTGGATCAGGGTATCGATCTGCAATGAGGTAGTTGAAGCAGCCAGCACAATGTACTGTAAACAGTGTGACCTGATATAGACAAGTATACGTTGTAAGTTATAATTCATACACTAGTGACATTTATACGTTATAAATGAAAGAGAAAAAAAAATTCCTCTGTTTTTGGGACTTACCGAAATGAGTTTTGTGCATCGTGTCCAGAAATAGTTGAAGCGGATATCTTTCTCAAGCCTGAAGCAAAGGAAAAATGAGGGATATGGATTAATATTTGTGCTGATTCTTCAAATGGTAACTCTTCTAAACCTGAAAGAAAATGGTTTGCTTATGATTTAGAATTTAGAATGAACCTTGCAAACAGAGAGCTAACTCGTCTGAGACGCCAGAGCCTGAGCATACTAAGAACTCTGAATCCTATTTCGCTTCCATTGTAATTGAACAGAAGACTAAGTGACTGAAACGGAGCTGTCGAGCAGACATCAAAAGCGAACCAAGTCGATAGGTACCTGAAAAATGTTTCATGTATCAAAAAGAAACTTATAATGAAAATATGTTTCCTTCCAAACTGTAGTTTCTCTCACCTTATAGCTATTTTCTTAGGATTATCGACTAGAAGATAAGAGTGGCGGTCTAGATAGGCAACGAAGAAGGTGAGAATGATATCAATGGCAAAGAAGCCATTGACAATGTTATCTACAATGAACAGAGCGTCTTTCTTGTAGGTGATGAATGCAACTTCAAAAGGACAAATCCAAGCTGAGTAAATCACGAGAATGACCAGCCACATCTCCCATGCCCTGAATCAACATTACGCCACAACTTAAGAAAACAACAAAGACAGAAACAGAACGCGAAAGATGAGTTCTAAAGTTATACAACACCTGAAACGTGGATCGAAAGGAGATACTATGTGTTTGCGGAGCTTGGTTGATTGGTTAATTCTTGCTCCAAGAGATGGCAAGAGATCAGCAGTGAGGACACTGCTGTGTTTCATTGTGTCCATATTGTATTCTTCCACGCAGAATCTTTCGAAGAAGTTTCTGGTGCAAGAGATTGACATCTTTTTGTCTAAACGTTTAAGGCTTCCTCCTCAATAAAGGTAGTTATAGTAAAGAAACTTGTGACAAAGTTTCACAAGCTAACGAACTTTTCTCTTTTCTCTCTCTTTCTCTCTCTCTCTCTCTCTCACGTTGGTTCTGACCTTTAGTACACCAACTTGATCTGACCCAAGTTTTATCGTTTTCTCAAAAGGAGGTAAAAACGAAACTTTTTCGCAGGAAAAGGTTTGTAACTTGTTTGCACAGACTCAGTGCAGCATTAATGCTGCAAAAACACACAAGGAGGTTTACACAAGAAATGATTAAGAGGGTGAAAACTGAAGCGGTTCACGGAACAGAGTAGTGTTGGTACATTTGGAGGAAGAAAAATTAACAAGTAAGATCTATTTGAGTGGCAGACATTGAGATTTTTTACAGCAGCAATGCTCTGAGTCTCTTCTTCCTGACAGGAAGTAAAGATTTGAAAATTGGAGAGTAAGAAGGAGAAAGAGGACGCAATCTGGTAATGGAGTTTCTACTTGATAAGATTGTGACTGTGGTGGGATATCCATTTACTTAGTGTTTGAGGCTATTATATATAATATATACAAAACACACATTTTGTATGTGTGTGTATGTTAATGGAAAAAATTGGTGTTTTTCATTTACAGGAATCCAGAAATGGACCAGGTAAGGCAAAAAGAAAAGATGGTCAGAATAGAATTTTTAAGGGCCGAAAAGGATAAAGATAAACAAATTCTAATAGTATTCGTTAAGTATCTAATATACACTTTATGGTATGCTTAATTGAATTCTCTTTGGTAAAATGTTGAGCGGCTTACACTACATACTACAGAAAATCAGATTCTTACCTGGACAGCTCAAATATAGGGATGACAAGTGGACCAATAACAGATTTCCTTCGTTTCTTGGCTTTTGACTACTGAATTAACTTTTACGTCTCGAATTGTTTTGATATTTTGTTTATGATTGCTCTAGACCTTTGGTTTCTTAAATTTTTTGTTTTATTAAAAATATTAATCCTTAATTACGCGTAAACATCTAATCAGAGTATTAACAACCAAAACCATCTAATCAGAGAAATCTGACACGACATGGAAAGAACAAAAAGACTAATCAGATAGTAAAAGCAGACTACAAAGATAAACTCTGTTTCACACTAACATTTATAATGGAATACAGAATGAAGTAGCAACAATCAAATCGTGTATTTCAGTGATAATGTTTTCTCAATTATGGAAATTTCTTTAGTAAATCGTATAGAAAACTATAATCGTAGTTGATATTTGGAAAGGCTATTTAGAATTTTTTTGTTTTTTTTTTTGAGTTCATCCAGTGATATTACAGTTTTTGTTTTTTCTTGTTAATTTTTTTTATACAAAACTATACTTGCATAAAAGAATTGTTTCACATATGATGATTGCATTCGTTTTTTTTTTCTTTTTTTTGTTTACACGAAAATATTTAGCATTAGTTTCTTTGTCCCTATTAATTACTACTAGAGATAAATTGCTTGCGGGTATATTTATGTTGTTTTGTGACTATTCTTGTTTCAACTCTAAAATTCTTACCAAAAAGGAAAAAAAAAACTATTTTGCATTTAGCTAGCAATGTGATTACAGTATTTTTTTAGATGGGTTGCCCAAACTTTAGTTTAGAATGTTTAATAAGACTTAAAAAATATTCAACTCATTTAGTTGTTCACTTGGCTTCTATGCTCTGCAAGAATGGCTATTACTCCACTGATTAACCACACGGTCTAAGAGCCGGTTAAATCCTGCACATGCAAAAAAGTGCATTGGGTCCAAATTATTCAATATTTTTGTCGTTATATTTCAAATGGGAAACACAGTTTGGGACTCACAAGTCAGAACCCAGATTAGGTGACATGGCATTTGAGTAAGAAAACTTAACTCCAAACCGATATTTTTTATAGTGATAAGTGATAACCGGGGGTTATCTTGGTTTTTAACTTTTAAACTCTCCACAAATGTTTGCTTCTAACTTTTTGATATAAAATAATACCCCTGGGTAATTAGTTGTCGTTTCTAAAAAAAGTGATCGGAACGTTTTGAGTGATGATTAGTCAATGTTCAAATTTAAATTCTTTACGTTTTCGTTTTGGCCTCTTAGTTTTACTTTGCAATCCGGTTTAGCCCATAAATCGAAATCAATCCAATAAAATTTAGGCTACGATAATTTATATCGAAAATGGGTTCGACCTGATAAAATGGTCCACCAATGATGGTCGTCCAATAGCGAGAGTCAGTGGGGATTAGAAATAAATATCTTAAATACATAGTTATTAATGTACTATAAATAAGAGAGCTTGTTATTGTTCAATGGGCTGATCATTTCCTCGAGAAATAGGAGAGAGACTAGCTCAATAACATTTGTAATTTCTAGTTTGTCGGAGACCTCAGAACCAGAACCTTTGTATCCCAAACTCAAAGTATTAATAAAGAATTTCTTCCAACCTCGAATTACCGAATTAACCCCTTAGTTGAATTCCACAATCAACACTTATCATTGCTATTAATCATGATTACAGTAATGTAGCATCCATATATAGGTCTATCCTGGAATATACCTCGTTTATTCTCTTAAATTTGTCACCATGATTCATCCTAGCTATGTGATTACAAGATACACATATTTGGTTAACATACGCACACACAAAAAAAAAGAACGAAATTTCAATTAAGCAGGACAAGCTAGGATCCAAATGACAGGTTTAGAAGCTGGTCGAACATACACGGTCCGGTTTCATGCATGGGCTGTCTGCATTTTGTGATTTTGTCACGTGCGTTTTACAAGGTCGGCTTAACGTAGAATATGCGCACTCTCTCTTCTCCACCTTTATTTAATTTTAAAAATGTTCATCTATATAAGAGAGATTCTATAAAAATATTATTTGTAATCATCTTTTAGCTTTTGTTATAAAATCATTTGATAACTAAATCGCTATAAGAGAGACTAGGTGTAAACTCGTCCTCCTTTTAATTTGGTTTCAGCTTGAAACAATTTTGCTGCTATTAGAGCATTTGAAATCTCGAAACTTTGTGATGATATATACAGAAAAAGGTTGAAACAATGTTGATGTTCTTCAGTTGTGATGAAACAATGTTGATGTTCTGTAGTTGTGATATAAATCTCTGATTAGACCAATATATAGAAGTCGATAGACTTGAACATTATGTCAGAGCTAATTAACTAGAACCACTTGTTATTTCTGAACATAAATTTGTGTGACACCTGCTAGGTTTGTTAACCTATTGTTGCTTCCATGGGAAGTTAGTTAAACAAATGCTTCTAGGATCCATCTATTGCACAAGTCCTACCCTGTTGTAAGTGGCTTAACATGGAAAGTAAAGTCCATATGTGTCTGCAACAGAGATCTAACCTTTGATTATTTTGTTTCCAAGTTTTTTAAAAGACTTGGACTACTAATCATACACTACTTAAAGATTCATAAGCAAAAGCGATCATATTGGATTTTAAATCTATTTCACTATTTGTACTTGACATTTTCTGGTTTTGCCTAAAATGATTAAGGTTAACCATAGGAATATTAGAGCCCTGAATTTTGGTTAATAGGTTATGCTTCACGGGATTAGATACATGCATGTAGTTAGACATTGTGGTAGGGTCAAAACCATAATGAATTTCTCGTGATCACAGTCTTACAGTGTGAGACTTTTGAAATGAAATTAAGAAACTATTTTTTTATTTTTGTAATTGTCCATTTGGTTAACTGTGAATGAAGAACCGTTATTAAAAGTACTTTACCAATTGTAGTAATCTTGATATGTTTTTAACCATGGAGTTGTGTTCTTCAGGTCAGAATTTAAACTAATCATAATACAAGTTCAATCACGTAAAATTCTTCTAATATCTAGTTTTTCTTACTTCCCAATAATCAAGAATTCCAACCTAATTAAATGAAAAGAAAATTAGAGAAACAGAAAAGGCAAATAGAAAATCTTGGTGTTGGATCTTAGAAGATAAAGCTAAGAGGTAAAGTGGTCCTTGAGGACAATGATGAATGGTGTCCTCACTGCCTTCAAAGCAGCTTCTATGTTAGGCCTTCTTATTCACGTGGTCCGATTAGTTTCTTATATGTTTGTACAGCCAAATTCATGCATGAGTATCTAACAAAAGACACTGTCTCTTTTCAAATATTCCGAATCTTAAAAGAGCTTTTAGATGGCAATGTAATATCATTCTTCTTTTCTTATCAATATAATTTAACTTGTTTAGATTTGCCTCCAAAAATTATATAGAACATAAGAGATTTATGATTGAGTTGTGAGTGATAAAATTGACATTTACGCACTGAGAGATAATACTCTGATTCCAATCCGGTGTCACAATATACCAAGGAAAGGAAAATGGTTCAAGAGTTTTCTAGTAATATGAATGGAACATTTTGTTTCGATAGAAAGAAAAAGTTTGACGGCTCGATTGCTTATTTTGGCCTAGCTTCAAAGTATTTGAATCTCTTTCTTGTTAGTGTCAAAGAGTCAAAAAAATAAATGGTTTACGACGGAATCACACTACATTTGTTGTAGAGACAATAAAAATTAAAGGAAAATACTTCAAAAACATCTTAGAATGAGAACGAAACCGATCCACCACAAAAAGCTGCTAGAAAGTGAATGTTATAGTTGATTCCTATCTTGAGATAGAAAATTCGAAAACAACATTTCCTCCACCAGTATGGTTTTATTTTGAGATATAAAATATTGAGGAATGAAATAATTATATTCTCAAGATCAATAAAATATCTAAATAATAAATGGAATAAAACTAGTGAACTCCGTGTGTGAAGATTAATGATTTCTATGTTTTGTGTATTGGTCATTAATGTGCTAATAGTTCATTCTATATCAGAAAATTTAATGAAAATGTGTTATATTTTATGGTACTAAGAGGTTTTTCTATATATATATATATAACCTAATTCCATGTGGAACAAGAGTGGTACAGATAATATAAACCCATGTTTTTTTCTTTGAAATATAATTCAGATTCTTTTATCTATATAATTTTTAAAGAATATAATATAAAGAGAAAAATAAATAAATAGTTGACTAAAAGGGCATTAGAAAGTGAAGATAAAAAAGAAGGTGAAAATCAAAGTTGATTCTAATATTTGTAGGGTAAAAGCAGTACCGGACCGATCAATTTGGATGTCCGCATCTAAATTTTTTAAATATGTCATTTTATATATTTTTTCAAAATTAAAATAATAAAAAATGAAACAAAAACTTTATAAAACAATTAAACTCCATAAACGATTTGTAAGAAAATAAAAAGATTCAATAAAACATAATAATTTACTACTGAAATATAGATATTCTTGCATTTTTCCGTGTAAAATCATTCATTAAACTGTCGTAGTCGAGTTTTTTAACCATATCTGTCTCAATTGATAACAAAACAAACTCATTTTGTTGTTTCTGATGACAAAGATAATTAAAGAGATTCTGCTAGAGCAACCTGAGGAATGTAACAGACTATAGATGGACGTGGA